TTCGGGATGTCCTGGGGGAGATGGCCCAGGGTCAGCCGACACTTTCTAAAGCAGTCATCTTGAGGGAGGGGCCCAGCATCCTAGAACTCGGGGCAGGGTTTTCTTTCTGCATTTTACAGATGGAGAGATGGGCATGGAGAGGACAGGTGGGTGTGGACCTGGAGCACCCAGGCCAGGCCTCTGCCCTCCAGACGTGCCCACTGTGGGTCTGCAGCTGAGCCTTCCCGCCCTGCCCCAGGGGCAGCTGGGACCCCAGGACTGGGAAGGCCGGGGATGCCAGCCGGGGGTAGTTTCATGTCAGGGGCAGTTTACAGGGGCCAGGGGAAGGTCAGGGGCATCCATGAAGCCCAGCCTGGGGCTTTCCCTGTGGGGCCCCCCCTTAGCTGGGCATCACTGCAGGCCTCAGCAGGCCCCTGGCCTCCTGACCCAGCTGGTGAGGTGGCCAAGGGACTTCCCCTGGGACAGGCCCTGTAAGAGGAGGTGAGGGGCCACCCTGAGAGGTCCTCCTCCTCCTTGCCAGTTCTCCGAGCCTCACTGTGTCTGTCTGCGGAATGGGGCAGTCACGTTCCACGCCTCACAGGGCCGCTGCAGGTGTTGGGTGGGTTCGTGTGCGGGAGCGTGTCGGCATGCTGCGGGCCCCGTTACCTTCCTCTGTCAATGCTTCATTCAGACCGCACATCCCCAGAAGGAGCCTGCTAACCAAGTGGCTTTGCCTCACTGAGCCTCAGTTTCCCCTTTTGCACCTCCCTCTCAGTGCTGAAGTACATGAGCAGCCCCTGGCCCTGGGCCTATGTGGTGGATGCCGGTGGATGTGAGTTCTGGGGGCAGGGTGTCCGATTTTCCACTCCAGCTCGCCCACGAGGGGCCACAGGAGAGGGCACGGAGGTCTGAAGCCCGCCCTGCCCGGTGGCCAGGCTGTCCAGGTCTCCTCCACGACTCCATGTGGGGGAGCAGTGGCCGTGTGGGGCCAGGAAGCCTGCCCCCGAGGGTGCTCTGGGGCCTCGTGGCTCAGACGTGGGGTCTTGGCTCTCAGGGCCGGCCCTGCCTCTCACGTCCGGGATCCCGTGCTGGGGCGGGCCTTTTGAAGGCGAATGACAGATGACAGTGGGCAGCAGGCCCTGCGAGGCTGGTGGGGGGCGGCTGGGCACAGAGCCTGTGTGTTCTCACTAATTTGATTTCACCCTGATGAGTGGGTGGGACAGGGGGTCAGGAGTCCAATGCACGGGCGGCCTATCTCTTGGCGCAGTGACTAGGACCCTCCCCGTGGGCTGGGGCTGGGGGAGCAGCGGGTGGGTGGTGCCCTGAACAAACACGGTGGGGGCCTACTCCACTCTGGGCCGCTTGTCGCTTGTCAGGGGGCCAGTTTTCCGGGGACAGACCCTTATTGTGTCCACTTAGCTGGACTTCTGGGCCTGAGCGTTCGTCTCTAGATGCTGGTGAAGCTGTGGCTGTCCCTCATGGAGGGCCTGGTGGGCCGAGCAAAGAGAAGAAGGCCACTCGCCCCTACGGCCACAGGGACACAGCCCGCGGCCTGGCCTTCTCTGGCCACAGGACAAGGATGGGCAGCTTCTGGCCTGGCACTGGCCACTGTCTGGACCCTCCCTCACCTGCCGTCACTCAGCCTGTGGCTGGGATGGGCCCACGGCATCCTCTCCTCATCTTGCCCTCGGGAGTCTCTTTCCCAGTCTGAAGCCGTCCCTGCTGTGAGCGAGGGACTGTGGGCCTCTGACTGGCCGGGTCTGGGCCCCTGCCCTCCTGAGCCCAGGGGTGGTGAGGGGGGAGAGGCCGGCGGTCAGGCGAGTGGACGCGAGCAGCAGAAACAGCAGGCCCGCTGCCCCCGCTGAGTGGAAAGAGGAAGGGGCAGGAGTCCGGACACAGGGCCGGCCCTTCCTTGCTCTGCCCCTCTCTGTGTCCGGCCACTCCCCTAATTGTACAGCGGTGCGGTGGGTGGAGTGCCCGTGAATCTCATCACTCAGAGCAGGCCACCTGTGAGAGGGCAAGGGACACGGGTGCTAAGTGCAGCAGACGGTAGGAGCGGCCCGGGCCGCGTGACACCTGTCCTCTCAAAGGACCTTCACTGTTGCGCGGGTTCCAGTCTCGGCTCCACCCCCTTCTGCTGGGGAGCCTCAGTTTCCTCTCCTGAGAAATGGGCTGAATGATTGGAGGGTGGGGGGTAAAGGCATCCAGAGCCGGCCGGGCACTCGGGACGCTCTCCCCAAAGGATGCCGCCTGCTCTTGCCGTGGGGCCCAGTTCTGCCCTGTCCCTCTGCCCGGGGTCTGAACCTGTCTGTGTGCCGCAGTTTTCCCGGGGCCAGCCTTTCGTGGCCGCGAGCTGTGTGGGGCTTGGTCCTGGGAGGTTGGGGCCCCCGCGGCTGCCGTGGGGAGGGGCCAGGCAGGCAGACGCTGTGCCCGCAGGGCAAGGGGCGCCCGCCCGTCCTGAGCCCCAAAAGGAAGCCTGGCCTCGCCGGCTGCAATTACGGTTAGGAGCCGTGTAATTAACTCTAAAAATGGGAGGCTGAGGAGGACATAACGTGGATGCTCAGTGGAAATTGGCGCCAGGCGATGCTCAGACAGCCGTGGAGCTGGGCTGAGGCTGCAGGGTGGGCGGGACGGTCTGACACCAGCAGGGACCCGGGGGGTGCAGGCTGGGGCGGCCTGTTGCTGGCCCACAGACTGGGGGGCTTAAAGCAGAGGAAGCGTATCCTCACGGTTCTGGAGGCTGAATGCTCGGTCGAGGGGTGTGCCGGGCTCTCTCTCGGGGCCCCTCCCCTCTTCCGGTGGTTTGCCGGCCGGCCGTCGCTGGCCTTCTTCGGTGCACGGGAGCGCCCCTGGATCTCTGCCCCCACCAGCACATGGCCTTCCTGTTGGGTCTCTTTTTCCGTTGCTCTTTTTTTAGTTAACTTTTTGTTTTACTGGAGTAAAATCAGGATACACGACATTTATTTTTTTGTGGGGGGAGGAGCAGAGGGAGAGAGAGAATCTCAAGCAGACTCCCCACTGAACATGGAACCTGACATGGGGCTTGATCCCCCAACCCTGAAATCATGACCTTGAGCCAATGCCAGGAGTCGGCCGCTTAACCCACTGTACCACCCAGGGGCCCCCTAAATTTACCAGCACTAAGCATTTTTAATACATGTACAATTTGGTAGCATTAGGTGCCTTCACGGTGTTAGGTCACAATCACGTGTGTCACTTCTAGAACTTGTTCATCGTCCCAAACTGCAGCCGTCCCCAGGAGACACAGACTCCCCAGCCTCCCCTGCCGGCGCCACTGTTCTGCCCGTCTCTGGGAGTTCGGCCTCGTGTAAGTGGGCTCCTACCGTGTCTGTCCTTTTGTGTCCATATGATCCAGAAGCTTCAGGTCACAGAGGACAAAACTGAGGAGCATTTGAGGCCCAAACCGGCAGCCGTAGCTGTTCAATTTAAGTTAATTAGAATAAAATTGACAATGTAGTGTTTCGGTTGGACTAGCCTCATCTCCAGCGCTCAGTGAGCACGTGGGTCTTGTGACTACCCAGCTGGACAGCAGGTGCACAGAATGCAGCCATCCTTCTGGAAAGTTCTGTGGGGGCATTCGGTGGTAGGCTTATGGAGATGAAAGAGAAATGACAAGAAACATCATTGGACCTGGGGCCAGAATGTTCTTTGCTGTCAGGACATCATGGTTGTCCTCTGTTGGGGAAACGTGAGGAAGTACCATCTGTAGACGAGGACGTGTGGGATCCACGTTGATTTGCTGACGTGGGTGCTCTGATTGTGGAAGAGGGAGTCTTTGTTCTTGGGTGCCCTCAGATGTTTGGGGGGGCAGGGGGGTCGCATCTGCGGTTTGCTCTTGCTTGGTTCAGAAAACACCGTACGCACACGAAGCCAGTGAGTCTGTCGGCCGTGACCGGGGACCAGCCGTGGCCGGGGCGGGAGGAGCGGCCCAGCCCAGCTCCGGGGCCGGGGGTGGGCACGGCCTGCGGGGGGCACACGGGCAAGTGAGATGCCGCTCGGTTTATGCTGGGCCAGCCGTAGCTTGTGATTGCAGACTGCCCTTCGTCTCTGTCCCTGTGTTTGCGTTTCCGGTGGGTGGCACACACTCTACTTGTCTTGCTGCCCTGGGCCCTTAGGGAGTGGCTGTTGATGAGGACGAGCGCTCTGAAGCTCCAGGACCCCGCACCATGCATGCCGCTGTCCTTGCCTCGGGGACGCCCTTGCCAACTGGACCGGTGGGCCGTCGCTACCACACCCAAGCGCTCACGGTTCCCTCAGGGTACACAACCCAGCGAGACATCGGTTGGAAAGCCGGCCTCGGGAGCCGAAGCCACTGTCCCTGGTCCTGCAAATGGGAATCAGTGGACAGGATTTGAACCTGGGGCTGAGCCACTCCAAATCCTGCTCTCCAGGCCACCTGGTCTGCTGCCCCCATGCCTTCTTTACCAGCTCCTTCTCCACGGGGACTGCAGCCGGCGATCCCGTTCAGCTCCCAACCCCAAACCTCCCGCCCCAGTTGCTTCGCCAAGCGCAGTGCGGGTGGGAGCTCATGATGTGGGGTTGCTGGGTGGAGGAGACGCCCCGGATGTGGATCTGGGGACTCTGGCCCTGGTGCGTCCCCTAGGCTCCCGCCATGACTGGTGTGTGCCGTTCCCGGCGTCCTCCATGGACAGGACAGCTTCCACGGGGGCAGGTCTGTGCTGGGGAAGGCAGTGAGTGTGTGCATGCAAGTGTGCGTGCGTGCGTGTGTTCGTGCTGTTTTTTGCTGACTCAAGACCAGCATATTTCCAGTCACGATCATCTGCGGGGGATCCTCTGGGTGGGGGTGCGGGACAAAGGGTCATGAGTGGCCAAGGTGAGCCGGGGGTACTGGTGGCGTCCGGACCAGCGGGCCGGCGGGGCTGAGGCTTCCCAGGGCCCGAGTGCGCGTCTCTGCCGGCCGCCGGAAGCCAGAGTTTGCTGCGGTGACGGCCGCTCTTACAGACCCTACAGGCTCAGCGTTCTTCTCTTCTCTTCTCTAGTTCCTGTGCTTGAAGAACATCCGCACCTTCCTTAAAGTCTGCCACGATAAATTTGGACTGAGAAACAGCGAGCTGTTTGACCCCTTTGACCTCTTCGACGTCCGAGACTTTGGGAAGGTGAGTGGTCTTCTCCAGTGTCCGGGCGCAGTGGCCGAGTGCCAGCTCAGTGCGGGGTGGGGGTGGGGGGCCGGACGGGACAGGCCTGGTCCCTCCAACACGGCGCCACGAGGGCCTTTCCACCCCTGTGTCCCGCACGGGCAGGCTGGGATGGGGACCATTATGTCTTCTGATGGATGGAGGCTGAGGGCTCGAAGGAAGAGCTGGTTCTGTGCTGTGCGCAACCTGGGGGGTCCCCAGTCTCCGTGCACTCTCCAAGGACGGCACCACGCGCCCCCCCCCCCCCCCCCCCCCCCAGGGCTTTTGCACAGGCTCAGCCAGACAGCCGCTTCCCGGACTGCCCGAGGAGCCCATTTCCACCTGCTGATGGGAAACATCAGAAGATATTTATTGCTTAATTTATCGGAGAAGCATCATCGGGGACTGGGTGTTTGAGGAAATGTGCTGTGAATACATGATTTATGAAATGCAGGGGGACTTCTGTATTTGCTGTTGTGAGTGCGGAGAAGTCCGTTCCAGTGCTAGGCCTGCCGTCGGTAGCCAGGACTTCCCCATGAGCCACCTGGCCTGATGGGACTCTCCCCGGGTTCTGGAATTCGCTAGAAGGGAGATTCAGGGACCCCCTCAAGAGCCCATCCCTGTGTGATTGCCACTTCTTATCAGTTTCCATTTCCCCCGGAAAGGCTCACTCACGTCCCTGCTGCTGTGATGCCCCTTCCTGGGGCCCCAGGCCGCCCTGCTTCCCTGTGCCCCGGGCACGTGTGCTGGGGTGGGAGCGCCGAGGGTGGGATGGGGTCATGCTGGTGTCCTTTGCCGTCAGTGGGCTTCTCAGTTCCCCGGGGTTGCTTTCAGAGGGTTGGAACTCCTCTCCTGTTCTTTTTTTTTTCTTTTTTTAAAGATTTTATTTATTTATTAGAGAGAGAATGAGAGACAGAGAGCATGAGAGGGAGGAGGGTCAGTGGGAGAAGCAGACTCCCCACTGAGCAGGGAGCCCGATGCGGGACTCGATTCTGGGACCCCAGGATCATGACCTGAGCCGAAGGCAGTCGCTTAACCAACTGAGCCACCCAGGCGCCCACTCCTCTCCTGTTCTTGTTCTTCCTTGTGCGTGGCAGTGCCCTGGGCAGGGAATGCACGCACACACACGTACATATATACTCACGCACAGAACTGCTATTTACAATAACCGTCTAGAGAAAAAGACAGGATACACCCTGGCCAAATCCATTTCTTGGCTGGCGGTTAAAATGCAGATGATCCAGTCTATAATTCCATTTTAGTTTTGATTTGCTACCGCTGAACGCAATGATGTAAGTAAGACGTACATAAATTCAGATCAAACTGTCATCGTACGACCCACCAGCCGTGTGGCCACGCGGTTTGCAAGGGGGTGCCCCTCGTCAGAGGTTCCAGGGAGGCGGCTTGGCTCCAGGGTGATGTCCCAGCTGCAAGCAGAGGGGCTGTGTGGAGACTGCTGCTGGAGCTGGCCTCCGGTCTGCCCACATCGAATTGGTGATGCTTTGCCACGCCATGGCCTCTGCTGTGGAAGGCAGGAGTGGGCAGTGGATTTGGACCAGGAGTCGCGGTGGGGCGACGCCTCGGACCCGGGTGCCGAGCTGCATACGGGGACCTCAGTTCATGCCTTGCACTGAGGACCCTCGGCTCCGGGAAGGGCAGGGCTCGGGGAGAGCTCCCCCCATCCCGCCTCTGCTCTCCATGTTGTGACCCTTGAGTCAGACTCCTCGAAAAACTGGCCCTGCTAATTGGCTGGATGACTTGGCAGGTGACCCGGTGCCTCTGACCTCTGTTTGCCTAGCTTTGGGAGGTGGCGAGGCGTCCAGCCCCTCAGTAGGTTGTCCTGAAATGCCGAGCATTTGTTGCTGTCCCCCCGCCCCAGGATTGGCCGAAATGGAACTAGACCCTCGTAGATCTGTGGCCTCTGATTTTTTTCTCTCTATTATTTTACTCGTAAGTCTGCACCTTTGGAAGACAGAACCAGAGAGCTAAGCACATGGACTGCGGACCCTTGCAGGCTGGGTTCGAGTCCAGCGAGCAGCCATGCCCAAGTGACTGGCTCAGTTTCTCCAAATCCTACTTGTAAAATGGTGGTAAGAACACCACCCTCTGAGGTCCGCTGAGCAGGAAGTAGAATTGTGTTCCTGGAGTGCTTAGTCCCTGGCACATGTCCCAGGAAGCTCACCCTTGTTCTTCGCCTCCCTTCTTCTCTGTCCTTTGGCCTCATGTTGACTGCATGGAAGCCACGTGGGGCTCCAGCAGAGCCTGGCCTGCCCCCCCTCCTGCCGCGTCCTCCCCGTCCATCTGGCTGAGTGTCCTTCTCGTTGAGCTCCTCCTGCCCCGCACGTGATTCTTACCGAGGTAAACCTGTGGTTAGCGTTTCCAAGCTGGGGGCCAGCAGAGGTTTGGGGTGCTGGGACGTGCTCTCCCCAGAGGGGCCACTGTTCCAATCTGTTTGCTTGGCTAATCCCTCCTGATGTCCAGGGACGGGATACCCTGGAAAAACCAACACAAGCAAAGCCCCAGCGCCCATGGCCTGCTTTGCTTGGTACCCAGACGGACAGGACTCTCCCACCCCTGGAGGGTGGTGCTGGGCAGGGTGCAGCAGTGGACAGGAGAGCTTGCTGATGGCAGGCTACTGAGAAGGAGTGCGTCTGGTCTTTATTCAGGTGTTACCTCCTGAGATGGGCCTGGTGAGGAGGTCCCTGTGCGTAGCTCCATCTGGCCACAGAGACAGAGCGTAGGTTCTGTGCCTCACTTCAGGGATGTTTACGGAGGTTTCCCCGTGGGCCCGAATTCACCTTCTGGCCTCCAGGAGCTCAGTCAGCACGGCCTGGCAGTTCCAGATGGGCCTGGTGGCCCTCACTGACGTCAGACCATGAAGATGTGACCTCTCGCTCTGCCCTCCCGCTGACCCTCGCTGCTGCCCTGGAGCGCTGAGTTCCAGTCTGCAGGAAGGCAGTGCCTGTCCCAGTACTGAGCACAGCGCTCTGTAGGGTCAGAACTGACCCTTTGTCTCCTGCGTGGGTGAGGCCAGGGGGGCAAAAGGAGTGATGTCTAGAGCCAAGTCTGGTTGCTGCTGACCGGAACCTGCCTGGAGCCTGTGTGGAGGGATTTGCTGACACTTAATCCGGGGGAAGGGTTTGGGACTGGTTGGCGGGAGGCTGCCCGGCCTGGGTGTGCGGGGCCGGGGCCCGGAGGGGCAGGTTTCCGTCTTTCTTCTTGATGGTTGTCTTCTACATACAGTCACGGCATTCTGGAGTATAAAGGATCCTAATGGAATAGCTGGTTAGTTAGTCTTAGGCTGCTTTAGAAATTTCCAATTTTTTTGGGGGGGGGGTGTTATTTAAGAAGGTTTGATTGCGTTCAGATCCAGTCCCTGTCCTGGTTTCTTTGTTCTTTTTCTAAGCAGCTGCTTTTCAGCTTCCTGTCTCCCGTGTCTCAGGAGTCACTCCTTGGGGAGAAAAGGCACTGGTGCATTCATTCATTCCTCCGTCCACCCACCCACCCATTCACACACCCATGCACACATCTACCTACCCAGCCACCCACCCATCTACCTGCCCACCTGCCCAGCCACGCATCCATCTACCCACCTACCCAGCCACCCACCCAGCCACCCACCCCATCTGCCTATCCACCCACTCAGTCATGCATCCATCTTCCCACCCACCCAACCAGCCACCCATTCATCTACCCACTCACCCATCTACCTATCTACCCACTCAGCCACACAACCATCTATCCACCCGCCCAGCCATGCATCCATCTACCCACCTAGCTACCCAGCCACCCACCCATCTACCTATCTACCCACTCAGCCATGCATCCATCTATCCACCCGCCCAGCCACGCATCCATCCACCCACCCGCCCAGCCACGCATCCAGCCACCCACCCGCCCAGCGACGCATCCAGCCACCCACCCGCCCAGCCACGCATCCATCCAGCCACCCACCCGCCCAGCCACGCATCCATCCAGCCACCCACCCGCCCAGCCACGCATCCATCCACCCACCCGCCCAGCCACGCATCCATCCACCCACCCGCCCAGCCACGCATCCATCTACCCACCCACCTACCCACCCACCTACCCAGCCACCCACCCATCTACCTATCCACCCACCCAGCCACACATCCATCTACCCACCTACCTAGCCACCCACCCAGCCACCCACCCCATCTGCCTATCCACCCACTCAGTCATGCATCCATCTTCCCACCCACCCACCCAGCCACCCATTCATCTACCCACTCACCCATCTACCTATCTACCCACTCAACCACACAACCATCCATCCACCCGCCCAGCCATGCATCCATCTACCCACCCAGCTACCCAGCCACCCACCCATCTACCTGTCTACCCACTCAGCCATGCATCCATCTACCCACCCACCCACCCAGCCACCCATTCATCTACCCACTCACCCATCTACCTATCTACCCACTCAGCCATGCATCCATCTACCCACCCACCCACCCAGCCACCCATTCATCTACCCACTCACCCATCTACCTATCTACCCACTCAGCCATGCATCCATCTACCCACCCACCCACCCAGCCACCCATTCATCTACCCACTCACCCATCTACCTATCTACCCACTCAGCCATGCATCCATCTACCCACCCACCCACCCAGCCACCCATTCATCTACCCACTCACCCATCTACCTATCTACCCACTCAGCCATGCATCCATCTACCCACCCACCCACCCACCCAGCCACCCATTCATCTACCCACCCACCCATCTACCTATCCACCCGCCCAGCCACGCATCCATCCACCCACCCGCCCAGCCACGCATCCATCTACCCACCCGGCTACCCAGCCACCCACCCCATCTGCCTATCCACCCACCCAGCCACACATCCATCTACCCACCCGCCCAGCCACCCATTCATCTACCCACCCACCCATCTACCTACCCACCCGCCCAGCCACGCATCCATCTACCCACCTACCCAGCCACCCACCC